TTTCAAGATCTTGATTAGATCTTGCTTACCGGTCCCAACATTTCAAGATCTTACTTGCAAGATGTTCGACTAGGGTATGGGCGATCAGAACATGGACATGATGAACTATATTAACTGTATTATATTTAAGATATTGATGACATTCAATTTTATGAGGAAATACACGATTATACCAGAGTTTAAATTCTTTTTGAATATCAGTCAATTGAACTCGACTTAGCTCAATAAATGAAAATAAATTATAATTTGAGTAAAGAATCAATTGTTCTTGAAGATTACTCTATGTTTGAATTGTTTTTTGATGGATCAGAAACAATATTGAAGAATATGTGAAGTTTGAGATAAAATTGGGTATGTAAATCTGTTTCATTGAAATATTCGGTTATTACAATTATTGTTTCTGGATTTTGAACTATTTCGATATGTAGAAATATATGATTAGAATATGAAGGATTGATTATGGGAACAATTGTAAATATTCTTGTTCTTTTAGCTTGTCAAATTAATTCATCTAATATAAAGACGGCTGTGTTTGATGAATATAAAATAATCTATATGGTTTGATAGGCTTAAAATTGGGTAAATCTTTGACATTACTATGGATTGATCTATACATTGACGAATAATGTTGTTGATTTAATAATTTTTCAAACAATTTATTTTGATATTGTTATTTTACATAATGCAACATTTTATTTGTTGTAATAAATAAATCACATGATGTAATAAATTATGATCAGTATATTTATTAACTATGTAAATATCATTATTCATTAGACATGAAAATCGTGATAAGTAATTTTGATTTGATGAAGCCACACAAAATATAATTGAAACATAATTAATATCCGTAGCAATACAAAACAAAATCACTTGTTAATGTTGATTTGAAATTTGAACCGAATTTAAAGAGAAAGTAGATGTTAAGATTATCTAAAATACAAAAGCAAGAAAACAACACGCATGATAGTTTTGATTAAAATATATATGGAAGCATTGTAAAGATAAAGAGTAAAAATTAGTGCATATGATACTGAGAAACAAGAAAAGAAAAAAGGATAGGATACTGATAAGTATTATGAAAATATGACCAAAAAAAGAGTTCATATGTTATAGCTATTCAGACGTGTAGCCATTATTGTATCGAGCAATATCACTTATAATAGATGGCATTGAGGGATAATTTATTTTATTTCGACGAATAGATTATATTCTTATTTGTTCGTTTTTTGTAGTTGTTGAATTTGTTATTGTAGTATCTGTATTTGTTTTTGAAATTGTTCTTTTTCTTCATGTTGTTGTTGTTGTTGTTGTTGTTGTTGAAGACGACGAGTGAACCATTCAGATAATAATAATAAGCAACGATTACATGGACCAAAACCAGCTCGAAATATTAAACAATAAAGAATATGTAAAATAACTAAAATAATCAAAGTTAAATCAACAATATCACGCCAACTTGAAAATTGAGGACTACTCTTCGAATGATGATCATAAATGGCATTTGTTAAAATTATAGCATTGATGAAATTATTAAATAAAAAATTAATCATGGTACGATGTTCATTAATAGTTGCATGTATAGCATTTATTTTATTTTGAGTACCACCAACAAAACGTCTCTATCGTCGATTAATTTTATTAGTATTATTGTTTTCAATTTCAACTAAAACTCATGGATATTGCTTTAATAATTTTTTCATTTGTTCGAATGTCATTTGATTTTGACATTGATCTATTTTATTATCATTCATATTATTTTTGACCAATTCATGTTCGTTACTTTCACAATAACTGATTCAAATGATAAACTACTTGTATATAATATGAGTAAGCACAAATAGAAGATTATTTTCGAAATCATTTTTATTTTAATTTCTTTGTTAAGCTGAAATAATCGAAGAGAAATGAATAAATAATTCTGATAAATTAAATGATTCAAAGCAACAAGAAAAACGAAAATGAGGATAGAAGCCGAAAAAAAAGAATGTTTATTCAATATTATTTAAGATATATACTCCTGGAAAAAAATAGCTGCAGTCGGTATTTCAATTATTTTGTCTCAACAATAATAACGTTATTAAAAACTAATTACATATTCTGAAAGTCTACGGAGTTTTCTACAAACCTGTATATTAATCTTTGGGTGTGGGTGTGGGTGTGGGTGTGGGTAGGCATCAACAGATGGATCACACCCACAGCTACACCCCATACCCGCCATCCACACCCACACCCAGAAGAGAGTAATCGTTCAAAGGCCTGAAGGACGTGTACTGCCACTGGGCAATATCTTCCTCATAGCACACCGATATTTTACAACATCAATGCAATGATTACAAAGAATTAAAGAAAAACAAATGCACGCTAAGAAAGTCTATCCTGAAATTTGAAATATTTTTTAAATCAACTTTTATTGTATTTAGTAATATCCGAAAAAGAGTGAACGATAATTTATTTTTTCAATTCGATGGAAAAATTCTGAGGAAAAAGTCGTAACTAAAACATAGACAGACCTGTGAAGAAGAACGATATCTTTGATTCGTTGTTTTTGTGGATAATGAAAACCATTATAATTACAATAAATTTCGTTTTGTTAGTAGAGCCCATATCATACTAAGCTGGAAAGAAAGAGTGATATGAAAAACAAACTATTCTATTATATATAAACCTATATTCTAAAATAACTGATCATTGTCTGTCAATGAAAATACACTATTAGTAGATGTAATAATCAGTCGGCGGAAGGCAAGGGGAAACCACCGCTGTACAGTCCTAAGCACACCATGATTAACATCAAAATTTCCATTCGAAATAACAGCGTGAAGGGAGTTCTCGGAGAGATCACCTCGCTCGGTATGGATGGTCACGAAGGACAGGTGACCCTCGATCGTCATCAGGCTACTTTCCATACCAAGAACTCGCTCAAAATAGGAACCTGAAATGGAAGAACTATGTTCCAAAAGGGAAAACTGGAAAACGTGAAGAAAGAAATGGAAAGGCTGAAGCTCAATGTGCTAGGCCTATCTGAGGTCAGATGGAAGGGGCCGGATCTTTTACAACAGATAACTTTACTATACACACTAAGATAAAATGTGTCGCATGTGTCGTACTTTGCGACACAATGTACGACACATTAATATGCGACACGAGGAGCTCGTTGCAACACATTTCTTCCAGCGGACGTACGACACATTCTTGTGCGACACATGCGACACATCTTTAACACGTGGTTCGAATACATTTTTCGGCATGAGGATTATTTTTTTTTGAAAATTCGAAGAGTTACTATTTTTTCAGTTAATTTCAAATAGTAGCACCTATTCTTGGAGTTCAAGACGGTAGATCTTAAGATCTAGCTGTCTCGAGACTATTTGATCTCGATCATACTACTTCGAGGCAGTCCATTCTCGATCATCTAGCGACCTCTCGGCATGTTCTCCAATAATAAATGGTCGAGAAATAATCTAGAAAAAAAAGGCATACGAAAATGTATAAGTCAAGCACGTCCAATAGGCTCGGTTATATGCAGCTGCACTCGCGAACGAAAACGGTGAATGAACGATTGACATATAGGCTATGACACATCTATAATGCGACACATTTTTGTGCGACACATTTTTATAATGGAGTCTGCGACACATTCTTGT